CATGATAATTATCGAAATTATCGTTGAATTATTGATGAAGAAATTCGGTGCAGTTCATTTTGACAATATGTCTGAAACCAATAGGTTTTTAGAAACAAATTGTGAAAGTTTTCCTTTTAAAGCACTCATACACATAATTCCATAATCATTAAATGGTTCATGTCATTTCACCTATTTGGTCGAAGATGTGAATATCTTGGAAATAAACTTTAAATTAGGTGAAAAAGTTCGCAAGATATTTTTTTATCTCCTGAAATTTTCTACAAAAAAAGCTCCTCTAATAAATTGCGAAAGACCTGTCAGTCTCGGAAATATATGAGATACATATCCGGAGTCGCTGTGAATTTGTCATCTCTTCATCACTTCACCACTCAAGTCAATCACTAAGAAATAGCTATTTTTTTCAACTCTAAAAAACATATCGGCACGTGACACAGGTCTTTGTGCCTCAGCCAAGCAGTCGGGGACTGCAGCGTAAATTTAGTCGCGCTTCACATCGCAAACAATGCAGTTTGGACTCTAGGAAGAGCGTCACCCGCGGAAGCCAGTGGTTTATTCCTTCCACTTTTATTTTTAGTTGATGAAAAAAAGGGGAATGAGGCGAGAGGATGATGCACCGGCATGCGAGAGTTACAGCACAGTGGAATCATCAGTCTGGGAGGATGAGAAATGTGGAAAAAAAAGAGACACGTGGCACTCAAATTTGGCGAAAAAAGATGAGTCCAACGATTTCACTGGGTTTATCGAGAAATATTTTTTTTTCTTTCGACATTTTTTCCCTAAAAATACTGATGACTGACTGAATGAAAGATTTCGAATTTTTAAAGATTTTTTTTTCAATTCAAACATCATTAAATAAAATTAATAAAAATTATTGAACTATTATTAATTAAAATTATTAAATGGGTTTAGTCATTATTATGCAATTATTAAAATCAAATGAATTGTTCGAAGATCATAAAGTTTTTTACGAAAAGAATTGTCTGATGTTTTTTTTCGAAACTCCTCAGTTTAAAATTTATTTGCAAAAAAATCAGTGAAATTGTTCGGGAATTATGTTCAATCTTTCTCTCACGACTTCATAACTCGAGTTGGAGTGGATTATAGTAACTCATTGATGCAGCCAGCCAACGTCAGAAACATTGTAATACCGGATACTTAAGACTCTCTGTCGGGGCCAAAAATGTCTTGCGTCGATGACTAATCGAGAAACATACCTATCCCAGGTGGGTAGATATCCGCGTAATTTTAAACTCGTGATTATAAAAAGGTAATAATAAATGGAAACCCGAAAACGATTAATCGAATAATGCGAAATTTATTAAATGATTAATCAATTTCACTGATTAATGAAACAATAAATCAATTTCGATGGATTTAATTTCTCTCAATCAACTTTCAATGAAGAAGAAAAAATGATAAAGTCACAGGTGCGTGACCACCCGAGGTATTATGGTACCCAACCATCTATATCCGCATGTATCTATTCCCCTTCGAAAAGAAAAGTAAAATGAAGAAGGATCCAATCAGGCAGCCTGCCAGCCTATATTTACCCGGTCCGTCCTAACCGATTACACCTGTAAAATAAGGTACAGCATCACCACGAGTCAATCGGGGACGCTCCCGTATATTTGTCACACTTTGGCACTCATTCCATCTTCCTAAATTCATTAATTCAGTAGTGAAGTAGTAAAAGCAGATGAACCTCAACCATCAAACATCTAATTTTGGACATATCTCGGATGCCAATTGACTGTTCACAAAATATTGGAGGACTTTTTCTGTAGATTATCAAAATCACCGCAAAAATGTATCGCCGAGATAATTTAATAATTCAAAAGACAATGCCAAAAACATGAAATTTTTATGGATTATCCCATTATCATAGTAATCCTAGAAAAGAATACTGGAATACATTTTTTGAGGTTCTTAAGGATATCTAAGTGCTTTAGCTGGTTTTTCTCTAGTGAAATACTCTTTTACTTTTGTAGTCGAACATCGGACCCTGAATTTCCGGGCATTTTACAATGATTTTATTATTTAAAGTTTGCAGGTCTGAATTTGGATCTCCATTTTGAACCGTTAGAAACCATTTTAAAAAGAATAAATGAACTAATTTAAAAATTGTAATTTTTTAAAATGACGAGCTCTTTTGATAAATAATTTATAAACAATTAATTTTTCACCATTAAAATCATTCGTTCGGAAGCGTAACAAATTTATTCATATATAGAATTTTACCAGAAATCGATTTCGTGTCTAAAAAAATTAAGCTTCCGAAAATTTAAACAATTCCAAACATTTATTTATAAATAACGAATGTTATAAATAATAAAAATTCTGTGCAAAATGTAATTTGAATGACATTGAATATTCATGATTTGTTCCAAATTTTTATTACGCAATTTAATTGACAAATTTGGTATTTGAAAATGGTTGAATTTATAGTATAGTCAGTATAAAATGTAAAAGATACTTGGATATCCTTAAGGATATCAATTTCATGTCTAAAAAAATTATTTCCAAAAGTTTAAACAATTGCAATTTTTTTTCTTATAAAAAACGAAGGTTTCAAAAACCAATAATTCTGTGGAAAATGTAATTTTCATGGCACTGAATATTCGTAATTTGTTTTAAATTTTTCTCACGCAATTTCATTGACTTATTTAATGACTGCACATGTTTGAATGTAAAGTTTGTACCAAACTGTAAAAGATACTTAGATATCCTTAAAATTCCTCACAAAATATCTTCCAACATTTTCCCGTACATCCACAGCCTCCAGACATATTGACAAAATAATCTGCAGATCAGTCAATTTCTCACTTATCTCCCATATCCACCACTCCCCTCCTATTACCTCAGCCTTCCAATTATAATCTTTATCTAACTTCAGACATTACGCTACTGAAAAGCCCTGTCGTCCACGTGACTCCCGTATAAATCGATGCCGCCACAAAGAGAAAGATATCCGCATAAATAAAAATAAATAAAAAACCCGAGGTAAGTAACTACACATTTTTCCTTTCCTCTCCACCCCCCCCCCTCATCCAGTAATTCCAAATGCATGAGTTAGTGATAATCTAATTCAATGACTCTGCATGCTCAATCGTCCCTCGATCACCATCTGAGCCACCCACCTCCGCAAAAAGAAAATAAAAAAGTCTTAAACGTGTTTTCTAATGGATGAAGATAGAAATAAAAAAACACTCCACCACATGCACAAACGCCATGACCACCGTCACTCTCCGGCTCCTTAGAATATACATAGTAATAATTTATGTAGGCATGTGCGAATGCATGTATCCAACAGTTGTCTATGTTATATACGATTTTATAACGGTAAAAACCTCTCACCGTCGCCGACATCCTGGCCCCTGGCACGTCGAGGGCGCGAGTAGTGTACAGGACATTTTTTTTTAATTCACTTCATTAAAACCACCTTCTCCCATTTCTCGAATTTTTTTTCAACCTTGAGAATTGTCTCAAGGTAATCAGCAATTTTTCTCTGTGATTGATCACATTTCGTCAATTATATTGACAAATGATTTTGTGGTAATATGTCATCAGATCTTTTTCAAGATAATTTCCTCAGGTACATGAATGATATTTCGTACATTTTTCTTTTAAGGGGAGACCATGAGTTCTAAAAGTGGCGGACTATTGAAATGAGATATCTCATGCATTCAAGATCGATTATCTATGTTAAAAACAAACAACTAGTGCAAAAAAATTGAGTGTTTATTGTTCGTTTGCCCAGCAGACGTTTAAAATGCTAAAAATAGTCCAGGGCCTCCAATTTTTGAGCTACAGAGGTTTTTTTTCAATATTTTTGAAAAAATATGTGCAATCACAATTACGAATTAGTTTTTTGAAACACAACGCCTACAGAACTAATTTCGATTTTTTTTTCATTAAAAAATTATAAGAATTGTTTTAAGGTCCATTTTTCTGCCTATTTAACATGAATGGCGCAAATTTTGATATCAAAACCAAATTAGCTGTATAGAAGTCGTCGAATTTCAAAAAAATAATTCGCAATTATTATTATGCACATTTTTTCAAAATTTCTGGAAAAAACAATTTTGTAGCTTCAAATTTGAAGGCCCTGGACTATTTTAAAAATTTTCAGCGTTTGTGGGATAAACGAACGATAAACAATTAATTTTCTCGCACTAATTATTCGTTTTTAGACATGTATAATTGATTTTTAATGAATGAAAAATCTCACTCCAATAGCCCGCGACTTTTAAAACTCATAGTACTCTCCCCTTAACCCTAATCTGGTCACCTCCGCGGGGATTTCCCGCCGTGTTATTTCGACTTTAGCGTTGCCGAATTCACTCTATACTGCCCGAGCGCATTTAGCCAGTTTCCGACAACGTCGCGTCATGAGCAATTTCATTTAACATGGGAAAAAATAATTCATCTGTCCGAAACAACTTGTTTTCTTTATAAACTTTGGGAAATATGCTGTTCTAAAAACTCTTATAATTTTTTAGACACTTCAATTGACAAAGTCAAATTTTTATTTAATTTTTACGGTTAGCCAGTCAATGGTAAAAAAAAAGAAAACCGACGAGTGGCGGGGTTTCCCTCAGAGGCTTCTAAAACAATTAGCTAATTAACAAAAACGTGCATCTCATAAATATTGTTGTTAACTGCTGCATCATCTCGATCAAAACACGATTCATGCTGGGCTATCAGACTTTTTTGCGAAGAGTTTCCTCAGCTCCACAAAAAGATTCCCATAATTTCTCCCAGCATCTCCCAACTCTAAGATACTGACCTAATCAACAAAAAATTAATTTCATCCATAGTTCTATCAATTACAGAATCACCGAGGATCCTTTTCGTAAATAATTTGCTCAGCTCCAGCGAAGGTCCCAAACATTTTCCCCCAAATTTATTAATCCATAAAGTTCCATCACTTTGCTTTCATATTAAATTTCATTATTACTTTTTCCTCGCCCTCATCCTTATGAAATTCCAAAACTTACACTTTGTCCAAGCATCATCAGCATTATGCCCCTGCTCCTGACTCTCAAGATTCCTATGATGATCATGGTTATTGTTGCTATCAGCAAAATTGACCCGGCTGTTGACCGGATAAACAATACCATGATGAATGCTCCTCGGCCCGACATGAGCGGCAACAGCACACTCATCAACATGACTATCCCCAACGCTACCCCTCAACCCACTGCCCCCAGTCGCGGGTTGAACAGTCGTTTTAGTCCCGGCAGTATCACTGACAGTACGCATATTCGCACTCCCTTGATCCTCAACGTTATCTCGATATAATTAACACCTCAACAATCCTCCAGCCAACAAATTCACCCTCAAAACATCGTCACCTCCTCCATGTCCTTGTAACCAACTACGAACCCTCTTACTCGATCAAAAAAATCCAACAACTGCATAATAATAAGGATGACATTAACCGAAAAAAATATCAACTCGAGTGCAGATTAAAAATAGTCCAATGGTTAAAAAAGCATAAACAAAACGTTTATCCACATAGAACACCGAAGGACGACAGAAGGGATTTAAACTGACTAAATACATCCGAGAATTTTCATTTTAATTCTCTTATGATATATCTGTTGACGTGAGACACAACCGACCTGCCAGAGTCGCTGGTGGTGTTCTTGTGTCCCTCCAAATGGCATTGAGGACCCGATCGTTGACGATGAGGTCCTGACGATTGTAAATCCTCTCGTTCCACACCTCTGACCTTGGGACTCGCATGCGGCCAAGTCTTCACCCTTTATTATATCCAGATAATAACGTGTGACAAATCCACACGATTAAATCCTCCAATGGATCAATAACACCAACACTTGTCCAAGATATTTCTTCAGACAGTCATCAGTCATTCACTTCCGGTTATCATTCCACCGGTGAAATTGTTGTTCCCCCGTGAGGTATCCTCGGTTCCCTACATTCGACGAGACGTACGCACGTTGTTACTGGTACAACCAACCAACTACTTGTGCTTTCAATTGGAGTCTCATTCAAAACTAAATAATCGGGATAACAAAGGTGTCGGGAGGTGCTCAAGGGGTTTTGGAAGCTCTCACCACGTGCTCAAAATCATGATAACCACACTGGGAATGTTCTTACTCTCAAGAAAAAATAAAGTAACATCAAGAGTCATATCAGGGTTGAAGGTGGGGGTTGGGTAACACTGTTACATCGTGCTTGTCAATGAAACTTTGGACAACTTGTGATAGAGTGCTGGGTATTCCATCATTTCTTGGTAACTTTTCGATGAAAACTACTTACAATTTAAACTCGCTGATGGCACCCAGTAACTGTTGATTTAATCAATCACAAAATAGTCAATTAACCATTGTCTTCCATTAATGAGAGTTGTAATTTATCACAAAATTTCGGAGATCTGCGACAATTAAATCCACCAATTTTGTTTTCTTTACTCTTCACGAATTCATTAACTAATCAATTAAGATGTATCTACTGATTTTTATGTTATGTTCTGTACTGTTGCTCAGTATTTAAACCATTGGATAGTTCCGCACGTAAGGCCGGCCACCGCGTAACTGAGTCCGGAGCGCGCGCTGTACACCGCTATATTAAAACCGTACTGTGTGTAAGCGAACGGGCGCCCCCCGGTGACGTCATTGATTTGACGTCATGGAGGTGTTGGATGCAGGCGGGGAGGTGAGGAGCTCGGGGATGAGGCAACGGGTTATTCGCGGGAGAGGTGGAGGGGAATGTCGGACTCCTGGATCGATGGACCCAGCACGCGCACCGGTATCATAAACCGCCACGCGCATATCGCCGATAGAATAGCCACATTCTGTCGTTGTGGTTGTGAGGGAAGACTTGAACTGGGGTAACACCACCTCACCCCGTCTATCGGTCATGACGTAGATTGGTGACGTCATTCCACCACCCACTGGTGACACGGGGATGAGAGTGAGGAGGCGACTGAGGGTAAGGCGGAGAGGGTGGAGGGGAATGTGGATGACACTTTTCCTTCCTTCCTCTCGCTTCTCTCGAGATAAAAGAGTTGGAAAAAATGGAAGAATGAATATGTAGGGGACATGAATGTGGGACGATGGGGTGGTTCATTCATAAATGTTGGACGAAAAGACTTTCATGAGAAGGGTTTTGTTATTGGAATGCTTATGTGAGGGTAGATGACGGGCGCGGTTCGTCGGAGTTTATGGATTTTTGAGGCAATGAGGGGTTTTTTGAGGGCGGCGGATGTTCTGGTGATGCTTGCACGCAGAGAGATGTTCAGTAAAAATTACGGAACTCATAATTCGACCGATTATGGAATCGACTCAGAAAATTTGAGTGATGGTATCGTAATTTTTCAGAGAAGATTCGGATAAAAATTGCGGAACGCTCTGGAAAAATTCAGTGAGAGTTCCGTAAAATTTCCTATAACCACATTTCACTCCGGAATTACGAAAAAGATACGTAATTTTTCTTGAATATTTCTCTCCGTTATGTCGGATTTCGGGGAACTTGGGAGATGTGTCTGCGATGAGATTTATGTAATGGGTGGTGATGGAGCCGATCGATGGGTGTCGAGAAGATAAGAGGAGGGACGTGGTGGGAGGGTTTTTTTGTTAATAATTTTGGGAATTACCGAAATGGGCACTACGGAAGTTCTGCAAAATAATTTTTATGACAGAAGTTTATTACCAAACAAATAAAGTAGTTGATGATTTTTCTCTGAAGCATCTGCTTACAGAGGTATTTGTAAAGTAGTGTTAAGTTTTTGCGATTTTCCTCCCTCACAACCACCTTCATGTACGATCGTCTCTTTCTTTCGCGTTATTCTTTTATCTTGATTCCTAGTCTGTGGACGTGTCATTTTTTTCATATCTCTTTTCATTATTTAGTTCGTCCCAAAATTTTCAATAAACTGTTATTTATTCATGAAATGTACCCATTCATTACAATAATTTTGAGGATAGCCAAGTATTTTGGCTATTTTTTCTCAGGTGTAATGGGCTTCTACTTTTGTTACCGAACGTCAGAGCTTTCTTTTGAATCCCATTTGACCTCAAGCTTTCGAACATTTTACAATGATTTGCTTATTCAAACTTTGCAGGTCTGAATTTAAATCGATATTAAACCGTTAGAAAACATTTTTAAAATCTAAAAAAAATTGGAAAGTTTATTTTTGGAGAAAGATTGACGAAATAATTTAAAAATTTCAGTTTTTTAGAATCACGAGCATTTTTTATAAATAATTTACAATCAAAACCTAGTTTAAAAAAAATACTAGAATTTTTTTCTGTTACACAAAAAATGTTTCCAGTTGAGATTCTGTTTGCTTAATGATTAGCTCTGCTTTAGACTCTGTCTCTTCGCTTTGTATTGTTTTTTCTTACATAGTTATTCGCTCTCTGAAATATATCCTAAAGTTAATCTCTCTCGCCTATTATTGCGCTACTATCATGTATATCTCTTTCGGCATCTTAGCTTTAGTTTGACCTGCTTTATTATTTTTTTCTCTTATTTTCTTTCTATTTGTTTTTTATTTCTTTTATTTTGTACCATGTTTAAAGAACGCATCACGCTGTATAAACTTCGGTGCTCCCCTGCCAAAAAGTACCATGTACTAAAGGTACATGGATTCAAAATTGAAATAAATAAATAATAAGTAAAATAAATAATTGATAAACCATCAATTTTCCACCATAAAACTACTTGTTCCGAATCGTAAAAAATTTATTCATATTCATGATTTCATCAGAAATCCACTTCATGCCTAAAAAATAAGGTTTCTGAAAGTTTAAACAATTTCAATTAGTTATTTATAATAAAAAAATGTAAAACAAAATTATAATTCTGTGCAAAATGTAATTTGAATGATGCTTAATAGTCATGATTGTTTTTCAAATTTTTCTCACGCAATTTGATTGACAAATTCGATGATTGAAAATGATTGAATCTATACACACACGAAAAAATTTAACAGAAAATCGTAGGGAATTCGCTAGACAATTCTATTGGATTTCTATTGAGCTTTCTATTAGTTTGTGGCCAATTCTATTGAAACGTTTAATATAAAATATTCTAGAGAAAAGGTCAATAGAATTCGATTTTTCTATCCAACTTTATTGAGATATTTTCTATAGAATTTACTCGGCTCAAATTTTCTAAGTTTTTTTATTCAATTTTTTTTGCGTCAAGAAAATCAAACAAAAAAGTTAACCAATTTTAGCCAAAGATATTCTATAGAAAATATTTCAATAGAATAAGTTTTATAGAAGAATCGAATTCTATTGACTTTTTCTGAAGAAAATTTTCTATTGAATATTTCAATAGAATCGGCCAAAAATTAATAGAAATTTCAATAGCAATCCAATAGAATTGTCTAACGAATTCGCTAGGTTTTTCTATTAATTTTTTTCGTGCGTGTAGTGTGGTCTGCACCAAACTGTAAAAGACACTTAGATATCCTTAAGAATTAAAAATTTTACAATTCCACTATTCCTAGTAAATTGCGTTCCCAATTGTAATTTATTCACAACAGAACAGTGGATAAAAATTCCCGGGTATCTAGAATATTGTGGGATTCCTCTGGCAATGTCTTGGATGGACCATGTAATTCCCGTCGCCTTAATCAATTAGTCAATAAATTGATTCATCAATGAATGAATTAATGCTCGAACAAATTCAAGGCTACTAATTCGTTTATGAATCACACGCTCAATTATCCGTTACGATAATCCCCTTCCTGCATTGTCACTTACCCTTATTGGTTAACCCGCCCACGTAACGTAGAATCAGCTGTTCGGCCGTATAAACTTTTCAAGGTTTTATCAGTATCGCGTGGTGGTGGCACGTGTCCCACCCGCAATACTCACCCCACCACCTGAGTTTACTGTTACGAACGCTTCAACGACGACAAGTGTTGAGATTTAATGGCTTAGGTCATGGTGACGGTTGAGGTGCTTTTTTAATCAGTTTAACGAACCAATTGATCCGCAACGGATATGCAATAGAATATCCAAGGCATCTTCCATCCTTATCTCGTTTTTTTTCCACACTTTTCTCTTTCACTTTGTTCGTTACACCCTTGTATTAACTGGAGGCGAGTGGGGTCATCCGTGCCCTTCCTCGTTCACCTCACTGTGCACGTGATGACGAGGAAAAAAAACATCTCATGCTCACCTGATGCTACTGATGATGATGATAATTATTTAATCGATTGGCGTTGAGAGAGAGAGGGAGGAAAAAGGTTGGGGCATGCTTTAGGCAGCGAACCGCAAGGA